AATTTCAGTTGACAAGTAGAACTATTTTCTCTATATTACTATCGTACTAGTATTCTTTTTGTGATTCACTTACAGTTGTGGCGCAAGTTACCGTAATTCGTTTGGTCTTCTTTCTTTTGAAGATCCTCTATTCATTTTGTCAAAGTGTACCCAGGTTTATTCAGTTAGCTTAGAACCACGCTTTGAAGGAATAAAATTATCCTTCTTATATTTTTTATACTCTTAGTTTCACTCTAACATATTAAACGTTAGGCCTATCACCTTTGCGGTACTTAACTTCACACAACTATATTCTGTTTTGCTATTATCTATTTACTGTTGTCTGTCTACTGCAGACATTCCCAATCTGTAATACTGTACCTCCAGGGGTACATTTGCACTTCTTAGGGGGTACATAGGGGTCTGAGAGTTGCTAAAGTTTCCCCTCGTATTAATGAACTTGTTGCCAAAAAACAGGCTCAACCATCTCATTAGTATTAGTATTTAGTTTTTAGTATATTGTTTTGATAATATACTAAGTTAACTTATAAATTCACTGAGTTCAATTTATCGATGTTATCAATACTATAAAATCCTCATGCAGTCCCCACATACAGATTTCATAATAAAATAATATAAAATCAGTATAATTTTATCAATTTTTGATCCTTAATTTTTAGGGGTACATGGAAACCTGTCAGAATGCCCACAGAGAAACAAAAAGGTTGGGAATCCCTGGTCTACTGCTTCCCGTTCGTCTCACGCTACTTATATCTTTATTACATAGTCGTCTGGCCACTTTCTATATTCTTGACACCAATTAGTCATTAACAAAACCTTCTACAATCGTCTTCTTTTGACTCTTATTATAACAAAACCTAAAAAATATCCACTCACAAATATAAATGAATCACTAATATTTAAACCAAACAGTTTTTTATATCATGACATATTATCACTTAGCTTCGTTCCATGGAAGCTCAAAGAGAGTCGAGTACATTTGTTTGCAGAGCCATGAATGCTGGACAGAAGAGCGGCATTGATTAATACTTCATATGGTTTGAGCAAATGCGTTATTATTTATACTTCCCCTCTCCCACCATCCCTGGCAAATGCATCTAAGTCAGTGTTGTTCACAACTTGTCACTTTTATCATTGGCCACACACAATCATACATGCCAATAGGACCATTATGAAATCCTTTTTGCTTAGCGTTTTTTGTGACACGTTTTATTAAGTTTAGTAATTACGTTAAAATGCGATTAATCCGAAAGCACTCAACAGTAATAAAGATAATGTTCTTCGAGAGATATATCCAACATACTTAATTCAATATAATACACAATAAAGGTACTTAATTGAGAACCTTGGAAAGAGTTCGGCGTTTCGGACTCTTACAGGGCTATCCATACTAGTTTTAAAAGTTTATTTTTCATAACCTTTTTATTCAAGATTTAGGTTGTTAAAAAAAGAAACTTCAGAATTACAGATTTGTGTTAATAGAAATAAGCAGTAATAAGTTTGATTTTTTAGATTAGTTTTAAATTTACGAATGATAAGGTTTTGAGAACTCCACCAAGTAAATCTATAGTCTGATGACTGAAGTAAACAGTAATTAGACAGTATCTTTAATTTTAAAATACGTGATATTCTCACTCTGATGAATGAAGTAATAGTGATTAGACAATCTCTTTAAATGCGCGATTTTTTCACTATGATGAACGGGGTGAGCAATAAATTATTCTACTAGTCTGCACATCTTACTAGCTGGACATCCAGCAGAATCAATCTATGAACGTTTATTCTCCTCATAATTGTCCCCCAGTGGCTAATCGGTACGTCTGAAGGCTAATAACGCTAAAAACTGGGTTACAATACCCGTGGTGGGCATAGCACAGATAGCCAATTGTGTAGCTTCGTGTTTAACAAGAAACTCCTTAAAATTTTCTAGGAATCTCCATCTGTCAGTGTCAGCACTAAATTTCCAATATTGATATATGGACAGGAGTGACTTTAGCCTCAAGTAAGGATGGTTGTCATTTCCGGCGATTTATTGCTTATTATCACTCGTGTGAATTATAGACCTTTTGAATAAAAAATATTTTAGTCATATTTGACACTGATCCACGCAATGTATTTTTGCCAGACTTACTTTTTACGAACCAACACGACAGTTAGGGATGTGGGTCTAAAATTACAACAGCTTCAGCGGCAAGACTGACTTTCATATTTAAGAGCTGAGCAGTACAGAGATGATATCTTACACATTTAAACGAGGCTGTACGCTGATGCTATTGGGGGCGAATTCGTTATTACGGATGATGATGTCATCTACACTGTGTTTGGATCGAGGAGGTACACCTCCAGAGGGAGACTCCAGTCCATATAGAATGGTCAAATCCAAAATGAGACCAGTTGACCATATGTAGAGTACCTTCCACCCCGTACAGCGTGCAACTCGCTACAAGCTGGACGATGTCCTTGTGAAGGACTGAGGACGTTTGCTACAAATTAGCACTCAGAGATTCAACCAGTCAGTGGTCAGTGTTTTTAAATAGCATACAAGCTAAACTTTGCTTTATTTTAATATGCTGTTTCACTTTGAAAACCCGTCGATATGACCAAAATGTATCGATTTGAGGGATGCCCTCTGTTATATGCAGTTGTGTAAAGATAAATACACACTGAGAAAAGTGTGTATGACAACATATACAAGACGTAAAATATGCAACTATCAACTGGTTATTAGTCGTATGTTATTAATTTGTTCCCTAGAAAGTTTTGAGTAGTGTAACATATCAGCTTTTGAAAGCAAACTCAGAAATATTTTCAAATAATTACATTTACGTAAATACAGAATAGGATAACTACTAAAACTAATGAAATTGTGAAATGGTATAATAAAAATTCAATAAAACTATGATACCCTGTATCTTAAAACGTCGTAAAAATTCTCATACCAGTGTGTGTCAAAAGATAGTAAAATCATAAGTCCCACGTGCATAAGGATTTCCTAAACTTATCAAAAATAAGTGTAATAAAATTCAGTGTCACACTCATGTATCTTGAAACACCATAAAATGTCACAAAAAACTATAAAACCGTCATATATTTCTGTCACAAAAATTCGGAAAAATGGAAATATCTCAAAGTGGGCTGGGTGTGACTTAATGTTAGCACGACGGCCTGTGAATCCGAAGATACATGGTTTGTGTGTAAAGCTGTAAGAGCGATGGTCAAACCGTTTTTCGGTAAGGGTAGTCATTAACTAGCTGCATTCCCTCTAGTCCATCAGTTTAAAATCAGGAAAGACTAGTGCAGAGAGCCATTGTGTAGTTTTGGGCAAATATTCGAAACAAACTCTTAAAGTCTGTTCATATTTATTTACCAGATACTCTGAAAAGGATATTTATAAAATATTTTATATTCACCAAAAACGTAGTATTGATAAATTAAAACTGTTTTGTTTAAGTTTCTAGAATGATTACCGAAAGAGAAAGTCAAAACGAGGACTCCACCTGTAATGAGAACATCATACCTGATGAGGACAAAGATAAACAAGAGATATGTAAAGAATCCAACAAAACAAAAACAAAGCCCAGTGATGAGTTCATCACGGAAGAAAGTCTTACCTTGTTTCAGAGGTAGTGCAGAATATATTTTTTTTCTAATCTGAACTGATTTATATCTTCAAGATCATATTAACTTGTGTCTGTGTTAATCGCAGAAGAAGATAAAATATTTCAAGAGAGAATTAATTTTTTTTAAATAATTTCAATCGCTGATGAATTAGAGTTCAATGCTGGCTGTATTATCTTGATCACTCGAGTCTCCTTCATTCTAGTGTCCTGCTCGTTGTTGGAACTACATAATATGACAAAGTTTTCCGTCAGGCCACATTCCTGACCTAGTTGTTTGTAGATGTTTGAAAAATTACCCAAAACTAGGTTCTGATAGGCTTTTATATATTGTTTTAAACAACGCATGGTTGATCACATACAATCTCGTCCACATCGACACAGACATATCAATAAACAACGTGGGAGCGTTGAAGTTTATTAATTTTGCCCTTTATTTATAGTGATTTTAAGGTTATACACATTTAAATTTGTGAATAGTGTGATTTCAAGATATTTTGGACAACATTTAGCCATAAATGAAAGGCTGACATAAAATGAGAATTTGGGTACATCAAAATCCACTTTATGAGGGGTTTATTCTCCATTTGAAAAAGTTTTCAAATGTTGTCAAACTACATAATATGCAGTGCCAACAACAAAATGTACGAATAAAACAGACTCTATTAATCAAGAAACTAAAACCAATGTTAAACTCTAATTCATCAACGATAGAAATTGTGTGTATTAAAAAAACAAAATATTTAAAGTTTTGATGCCACCTATTTTGGTAGTTGATTCGTATGCTGTTGTTTTCTTTTCTTTTAATATGAATATGAATTGATAGAATTTTTTGCGGCAATGTAAGAATTACGAACGTGATTTTGTTTGGAATAAAATTTGAAATAAAAAAACCCAACAGAACTGTATACTTAAAGTTAATTTCACTGTTGCATTTCTGGAGAATAATTAAATTAGAATTAATAAATTTAAGTTAAAGAGAGATAGATAGTTTGATTGATGAAGTTTTCATTTTATTTTTCAAACCTTCTATTTCACACATAAAAAAGCTCACTTATAATTTCCTTCATACTTGTTTCATTAATGTAAACCAAAATAATCTTCACACACATTTTAGGATATTTAGAAGACGCTCTAAGACGAATAAAATGAAAGTGGATATTGAGACTTGCACAGAACTGCTAAGTAAACAACAAGAAAGTGCAAAATCCATTAAGAATGAAAAAAACGACGAAGACATCTTTCAAACAGGGCATATGGAAGGTGTTGATGACAAGGGAAAAAACGGGAGTGAAACTGATGTAAATGTACCCGTGATTATTCCAAATCCTTCTGGTTCTAAAAATATGGTTAATATTAGAATAAAAACTTTCCATTGCTGGAAATGGATTCTTTTGGGAATTCTTGTAGCACTCCTAGTGATAATTGCTGCTATTCTTGGAATCTTGTTCACGATTCCTGAGCCCAAACTTTTCTTGGAGACTTCTGATGCTCTGACCATAACTGAATGTGGCCAAGTTCTAGGGTTGATACAAGATGGTGTGTATGTTTTTCAAGGTATTCCTTATGCCCTTCCGCCCACGGGCAAGCGTCGATGGAGACCCCCCCAATCACCAACTGGCATTGAAGATTGTTGGGACGGCATTTACATGGCCCACAACGTAAGCAAGTACTGTTACCAAATAGAATTTTTATCTTCCCACCGGGACTTCAGTGAAGACTGCTTATACCTGAATGTGTATACTCCAAGCTTGTCTTATAACCAACTTCGCCCTGTTGTGGTTTACATTCCAGGCTATTCTCTACAGGGTTATGGAAAGGATTTTGAGTGGCAACCTAACCCTCAATTAACTAGAGAAAAAGATGTCATATTTGTCACCTTTAACTATCGGTTGAGTGTGTTTGGCTTTCTGGCCTTAAAGGTGTTATCTGACGTTGTTCGGCCTCCAACTTCTGGAAACTATGGGTTATATGATCAGATTGCAGCCCTCAAATGGGTGAAAAAAAATATCATCCATTTTGGTGGAGACCCAAAAAAGGTAATTTTCAAATTTTCATTTTGAAGTATGATGCTTGCTTTTAACATTGGATCTCTCCGTCAACCAGAGGCAAAGTAGTGTTTTTGGGTGGCAGGGTAAGGAAAAAGAAATCCTTGTAGTTGTTTGTAGGAGGCGTTGCATATGCCATTCGGAATTTGCTGTATATAGATACGCAGTCTATATTATGGTAATGTATTTTAATCGTGCGTTATGAGCAGTTAAAGACAGATAGGGTTTTGGAGTGGCTGCATTACCTTACCAGCAACAGTCACAAACACAAATTGTTTATCATTTTTAAATTCTCAAACAAATTATGCGACCTATCTTCGTTGCTTGTTTGAAGTTGAAGACCCTGTTCTTGATTTTCTAATCTGGCAGAAAGTTACTGCTATTATCATCCTCTTCTTGTCATCCCCAAACCTATTTTTGAGTGCCGCCACGGCATCTTTGGGCTTTATAGATGGATTTGCCTCAAAAAAGTCCATCGTGATCACATCCCCAGCAGCTGGACAGACTGCAAGTCGAACATATCTGAACATTTCACACACAGGTGATCGAGAGAATAATGGTTAGTGATGATGAAATGCCGAAGAGCACCAAAACTCCAGTAACGGCCAGTTGAAAATCTTTTGGGCTCTGTCTGAAAAACAGATGTAACGACGAACGCAAAAGAAAAAAAGGCTCACGTAGCGAATTCAACCTGTCACATCTCATTGTATGCTATATCATGCATTTGTTTCCCTAAACTCGGAAAAATCTCCGAATGTTTTTACGTTCGATTCCTGCCATGAGCTCGGTATCTCTGGTTGAGGGAGAGATTCTTTGTTAGACAAGTATAAAAAACCTTAGGACTTCAGATTTCCTTTATTGCTTGTCGTAATGAATGATAAAATATGTCCATTATTACTTGTCGCAATGAATGATAAAATATTTCCATTATTGCTTGTCGTAATGAATGATAAAATATTTCCATTATTACTTGCTGTAAGGATTGATAAAATGTAGTATAAAAACATACTAACATTAAGTTGATACTGTCACTTTCTGCTCTAGCTTACTCTAAATACTTTACGTTTCCAAGTTTGTAATGTTGATATTAATAGTTTGATATCCTGACTTATGCTAATGCATCATTATAATGGATGTAACTAAATACAAGAAAATCAAGATAAGCCAGCTATAAGAAAGAATTAACGCTATTAATAGTTTGATATCTTAACGTAATTTATTCCGTTATAATAATGAATATATTTAAGTAAGTGAACATCAAAGAAGGATCAGATACCATAACGAATGTTGATATTAACAATTTAGTATTCTGATATACTCTGATGCATCATTGTAATGGATCTTGTTAAATAAACGAACATCACAGAAGGACGAGATATTGTAATGATTGTTGATATTAATAGTTTAACGTGCGGATATATTCTGATCCAACACTGCAATGGTTGTAGTTAAATAGATAAAAAAATAGCAAATGAATGTCGTTAATATGCTTTTTAAGTTTTATGTTAAACGAACACCCACCCCTCTTTGTATATCGAGCTAATATGAATTTTCAGATTTATTTCATAAAGAAAAGTTGTATAAGTTGCCTAGTGACCTCCTGGGTGGCTACTGTAGGAATAATATAACAAAATGTATTAAATCTTATGTTTTTCAACACAATTCCCGTTTTTTTTGGGGGGGGGGGCTTTGCATACTCTATACATATGTGCAAATTCATTATGGACGTCGACCTATTCCCACGTGGATAAATAAACTCATTACATATCTGTTAAAATCAGCAACTATATATTTTGAGTTATGTATACAAATTACTGTGTTTCTGGAGTTAGTTTAAAAACATAGTTTGGGTCTTTAGTCCGTTTGTTTTTAAATGTTTTGCAGGTAACAGTCTTAGCTTACGGTTCTGGAGCTACGGGGGCTGTCCATCTTCTGAGCTCTGTGAAAAGCCAAGATCTCTTCAAACAGATGTGGATTACGGGACCGTCTGCATATTTCACGAACAAAACTCTGCAGCAAGTTGAGATGGACAATCTACAGTTTCTTAGGTTCTTCCCTTTTTATTTTATTATATAAATGTTCTTTATTAAGTTTTAGGCTTAAACAATAAAGTACAAGCCTGATTTCCAAAAATAATTTGAGATTTTGTTGTAACACATATTACAAAATTCAGGCCTGTTTTCCAGAAGTGACATAAAACTTTGTAATAAATATAATAAAATAGAATCTCCTATTTGAACACTATTTATAAGTTGAATGTAGGAATCTTTTGCATAGTGAAAGGCTATGGCATGTACTTTCCAAAAGCAATCAATTTTCGGTGGCATCTGTAACTTTGAGAAGACAGAACTTTAACACAAACACTGATTATCTTTTTTTCAGAACAATACTAAAATGCAGTTCTGATACATACTGTTCCACCGCTACTTTATATAGGCTGATTTACTTATTCAAAATAGTTTCAATATAATCTACTCAACCTAGTGTTTTCTGTTTCAGTAATTTGAACTGTGACACCAGGGAGTGCTTACATCACAAAATGCCCGAAGATTTGTTGACCTCCCTACCAAAATCGTGGTCAACCGACCATCCATCTGATCTGCCTTCTTTGTCTGACCATCCTTTCCCATCTGTGGCTGTTATTGATGGTAAAGTAGTGCTGTGAGCTTATTTTGAAAAAATGATATATATTATTTACTGCAGTAACTGCGTCTTCTCTATCTTCTTAAATATGTTCTTTTTTCTTCGTGTTACCTAGTTGTAGAAAACAATGATGTAATGGCCTTCTTTTGTTGATTAGTGTCATAATAGTATAATGAATATAGCTATATTCCCAGTGTAAAGTGTGTTTTTTCTTTAACCATAAATGGGCAAGTACGATGTATTAAAGCACAATGTATATTTTGATCTTTTATAAAGCAATTTTAGGATGACTTATTATACTGTTTGATAACATTGGATAAGAATTTAGATCTCGACATTTATCACGCTGAAATTTCTGTCTTCTTCCACACGTACTTAATGATACATTCCATTAATTAAACTATTGAATTTGTTACTTTATTTTAAACTTATCTTTCATATCGGATTCAAGTTTACTTCATACGACAATTTTATTCGTGAAGACGTAATAAGTAATTCTTGAAAATGTATAATAAAAACACTTGATAGAATTAAAATGATTAAAGCCAAATGTCTCTCTCTCTCTCCAAATATATATATGTAAAAGTCAAATGTCTGTTTGTCATGTACTGTATATCCTGTATAAAAATACTTATTTTCAAGAGTACAATACAGAAAAAATATTCATTTTTTGCAATTCATATCAAAATCAAGAACAATAATGTTTATTGTTGTGAGAGATTTTCACGAAAAAATAACGAGACTTTCTCCATCGACTGATTGAAAGAAATATTTCAAAACGCACGAAAAGGAATATGTTTGAGTATATGTTTGTTGTTGTTTGGTTTATATATATATGTGTGTGTGTGTTATTTGTTTGTTTTTTCATGTCAATATCATATACCTGCATGATTTTATTGCACCATGTCGAATAAATTGATTTGGATATCTTCTTTTTGACACTCCTTATAGAAATGACAAATGTCAACAAGCGCTCACTTTGGTAGCGGTTTTTTTTGGTGCTCAGTAAAATGACGAGGAACGGTGACATCCAGCGGAAAATTTTCCCCATGGCTATTTGGTGAATCTGAGTGCTCTACTGTGCTGGATACACCCATTGCATCGAAACTCGAAGATTTTTGCCAACAATGCAATGCAGTCAGTCTTCTTTGGTTAAAAATAAACGCAATGCAATTTTCGTTATTGAAGTAACACATGGAATGACAAAAGATGGCTGGAAAAAGCCCACTAGACAATCATATTGCATACACGCTCTGATCGAAGTGATTGGGTTGACTACACATTTTGTGTTTATTCATCACTATTTTTAGGAAGATTACAGTTGAATTGTTTCAATGGGCATCTGCTAGTACAATAATAAAAAATACAGATTATGTCATACTAAAACAGTGTTGCATGACATGAATACAGTATCATAGCATTCGCTTCAAATAATGAATTACACTGTCATAATGTTTCGTTCTCAACTCTAATTATATTGTCATAACACATTGCATCAAAACATAAATTGTATTGTTATAACACACTGTTTCAAAACATGAATTATAGTATCATAACACTTTATTTCAAAACATTTAGCTCTCCAGTGTCTCAGCGGTAAATCTGAGGGCTTATGACGCTAAAAATCGGGTTTCGATATCCGAGTGAGGCAGATCATAGATAGTCTATTGTATAACTTTGCGCTTAACAACAAACAAGCTTATTTTGTGTTGTATTTAATAAAACATAAAAATACATAGGATATTCTATTCCCCCCCTCCAGGCTCAGCGGTAAGTTTGCAGTCTTACGACGCTAAAAATCGGGTTTCGATACCTGTGGTTGTCAGAGCTCAGATAGCCCATTGTGTAGCATTGTGCTTAACAATTACCAACCCACAAATAAAAACTAAATATATATACTTTTCAAGGATTGGCATTATTGATGTTATAATCCAAAAGCCAACGGTACCATAATGAGTTTATTTACACGTACCTGGATCTAAGCATAGATTTCTCATATGTATGTAGATAACTTCCTCTGAACTGTGCTGTATGTTTGTTATACAGGTCACTTCCTCCGAATTCTGTACAAGTCAGTTCATTGTATCTGTGTTACATCTTCCTTGTATGGAATATTTTCTTTGAAGTGATTTTAATATTCTTTATATAGTAACTTTCCTAGAACTGTTACAGATTTTTTGCTCACGCCTGTTTCTTGAAATTGTGTTACAGATTTTGTGTGGTTGCTTCCTTTAAATATGTTTTGAATTCCTTATACATATTTATTCCTTGGAACCTTATCATGATTTTAATCTATAGATTTTGGCGACAAAATAGCGTATTATGTCGTATCATATACATAATACAAATGTGAAATTACTACATAATAAATAAGTTTGTACTGCGATAAATTTGAAACGCTGTGTTGATCATCGTACTACAGAAAATATTTGAGAATATTAGTACAGAAATAATTTAAGAGCACATGAAACTTTGAGCTAAACACTGACTGTCTTACTTCCGAAATGAATTAATAATACAGAGTTTTGAAACACACATCTACTTTCTTATTTCAGAAATGAGTTGAGAATGCAAAACACATGAATACAAAAATTACCAGTCTTACTAGAAATACGTGTTGAGGATGTGCACACACAGCCTGTTTAATATCATGGATGAGCTGAAAGCACATGAAAATGTAAGGCAAATATTTACTGTCTTGCTTCAGAAATGAATTGCAAACACAGAAACATTTGAAACGGACATTGGCTGCTTCACTTCATTCAGATGTGAGATTGTTTTTAACTGCGTTTAACATGTTTTTACCAGGAAGTCTTCACGGATAACGTACCGAAGAGCTGTTTAAACAGTGTAATTTGGAAGAAATATGGAGCCATAAAATAGAAATATGTTGTTTATTGAACATGATTTTATCTGATGTGTTTTTCTTACTTCAGGTGTTGTTGTCTATAATGATCCGTACAGAATGTGGTCTGACGGAACAGCGAACGATGTTCCTGTTGTTATAGGTAAGGAAATGGTTTCATTGTTCTATGCTGCTGCTTTACAAAAAGATTTAGATCATTCAGTGAGTTGGGCAAATAAATGGCAGATGAGTTTTAATTGTATTAAATGCAAGATAATGCATGTGGGAATAACCTTAACAGTGTCATGAAAGAAAGGTATCTTGGAGTAATGATTGATCAGTCTCTTAAGCCCTCCAAGCACTGTGCTATTGCTAGTGGTAGGGCAAATAGGATTTTAGGTTGTATCTACAGAAATATTGAATAAAAGTCTAAAAAGGTTATAATTTAATTATATAGGTCACTCATTGGTTAGGTAACATTTTAGTATTGTGTTCATTCTTGGGCTCCTTACCTTAGGAAGGACATTGAATTGTTGGAACGGATTCAGAGGAGGGTTACTCGAATGGTGCCTAGGATGGAGGAGTTGTCATTTGAGGAGAGGTTGAGATCTCTGAAATTGTTTTCTTTTGAAAATAATAAGAGTTAGAAGGGATCTTTTTGTGGTGTTTAAGATTGTAAAGGAAATATTGTTGATACATCATCTTTTTTCATACTTAACGGCGAGAATAAAAGATTAGGGACACAAATATAAATTCTGGCCGGGTAGGAGTCATCTTCAGCTAAGACAGTATTAGTTTTCTAACTGGAATGGGTTACCTTCGGATGTTGTGGAGGCAGTAAATTTAAGTGAGTTTAAGAGAAGGCTTTATAAATAAGTGAAAGATAAGGGCTGACTTTAAGATTTTTATTTATTTATTTAATTTTATTTATTCGATAGTTTTAGTTTAGTTTAGAGGATGGGACAGCTGAGATGGACCAATAGGTCCCTTGTTGTCCCAAAACATTATGTTATATTTTATGTTAATTTACTTTAAGAAATTACATAATTGAAAAATGTTATTGTTCAAGACGTGTAATTACGTCTCTTGTATTAATCTACTTTGATTTATAATATATTTTTCATATCCAGGGAGTTCAGAACAGGAAATAGGGCTGTGGAGTGGAGATCACCAGAGCTTGAGCACTTGGACTTGGGAAGATTTTAGCAACTACGTCAGACAGAAGTTAGACACTATAAACACCAATCTTACAGATTCAGTGTTGGATTTTTACATAACAAACACATCTACGCCACAAAAGCAGTTCTACACAATGGTAAAATTTTATAATTATTCAAAGCGTTCAAAATAGCTACGTAATGATAAGATAAATATGGGAAGTTAGTTTCCATCACTCACAACGTTATACCAGATTAACCGAGCATTATAATATGTAAGGTCTCAATAGAATTAAAAACTTCCCAAACTTAAATACAGTAAGACAGAACACATGGGAACGATCAGAGTTGGTCATTATTATACCATAATTCATAAATAAGAGATAGAAGTTCTTTTGACATTATACTAACATTATTCTAAAACTATTCTAGTGTAGAACTATCGCAAAAGTCATTAATTATTTTAAGCCTTTTTTTTAATTCTATGTTGTTCCACAAAAGTTTATTCGTATTTTGATCTTTCTTGTTAATTTTGATACTACTCAAACTATGAGTGTAATTACTTTTCTATAGAACAATTCTCCTATAAGTTAATTTGCTGGAGAACAAATTCTTAAGTGAGTGTAGTTAAGTTTCTAGAGAACAAACTTTCCTACAAGTTATTTTTTTATAAAAATATACTTCTACAACAGTAACTACCTTTCTATAGAACAAATTACTCATTGAATGTGCTATATTTCTATAGAACAAACTCTTCTATGAGTGTACTTATTTTCTATCGAAAAAACTTTTCTATAAGTATAGTTATCTTCCTATAGAATAAACTCTTCTATTAGCCAAGTTAATTTTTATAGAATATAATTTCCTATGAATTTTGTTATTTTTCTTTAGAACAAACTCTTCTATGAGATTAGTTATCTTTCTATAGAGTAAATTCTAAGGTAAGTGTAGTTGTTTTTAATGAAGTTTTACTCCTCTTTTCACCTTCTTTATGGAAACAGTTTCTCCTGTAGCATCAATAAATATACTCGTATTTCTATATAGGTCTCAGATGTTCGAAGTGTCTGTCCTATTCAGCATCTGACCCAAACAATAGCTGGCGTACTAGAATCCAATGTGTATTCCTATATTGTTAACTATGTGCCCAGTAATGATATCCAACTTGCTAATTCAACTATTCCCAGACTCGCCTTCAGTGGATTGGACATTGTCGCTATTTTTGATCTATTGGATAACTACCTAATAGAGCCCAGTGAACAGGATATCCAATTTCAAAGGATCCTCCAGGAACTGTTCTACACCTTTGTGCATACTGGGAAACCTTTCATGGGATATACATCTTTGAAGGAAACACCCTACATTAATTTTCTTGGCAACAAAGTTGATATGAGGTTGGCACCTTACGAAAATTGTCACGTGTGGAAGAACTTGCTGAAGTTTGGAAGAATGAATTAAACAGAATTGTATTCTATATTTTAAATGTCGTAAGAAAGAAATATCTGGATTTCTTGATATTCTGAATTTTTGACTGTATCATTAATCTAAGTTATTGGTATAATGCAATTTTTTAAAAAAAATGAAACTACCTAACATTACTTCTAAATTTAGTCGTTTTTAGCTAAAACGAAAAATTCTTTATTCAAATATTATATTGCACAGATTTCTAACCTAGAAAGAAGCTTACGTTCAAACTGAAAAAAAGAAAAATCCAGACGAAACAATAAAAGAAAATTGAGCCTAACAGTAACCCTTACCCCAAATAATACGAAGTTATCAATTAGATTTGTTTTCAGTAAGTAAGGTACACTCTGCCCTTTCGCTAATGTTGCTTTCATTAACAGTATTGGTTAATATGTATAATATACATATTTTTAATATTTTATATTTTCCTGTTATAGAGGTTATCTGCATTGTTAGCTTAGTATATCGATTTGAGACTGTAAACCTTCTAGGCTGGCCAAACTTTATGAGGTATTATTGGGTTTACGGCAGAAAATACAATTAATTGAGAGGGTATCCAACTGACGAAACAATGCATTCTAATCTTCACAAGTAAGCACTTAAGAACAGTATATTCAGTGAACCCATTAGCCGGTTGATTTTTTATTTTGATCTAACTAAATAGCTTTTTCTGATAGGAGGGTTAAAATATTAAATTTTGTTTGTTATTCTTCTAGCTTCAGAAATTATTATTATGTACGATAGGGGCTAAGTACTGTTCGGTAATCCTTAACTTCAGTGGTTAATGGTATGGCAAAGTTTTAAGTTTGACCCAATATTCTGCTTGCCACATAACATTAACGATTTCAATTATGAAATAACGGGTAGATTTTAGATTCCTCCTTGCATAAGCTCATTCACTGATGATGAAGGAAGTCCCAATTTTCTACCTGTAAATGGGTGTTTTTTATCATTACAAATTTCTGCTGGAAATATTCATGAAACTTCAAGAGGCAATCGTTAAAACAAATGTCAGCGTTTTTGATATTATAAAAACTGTACATTTAAAGCAACAGACAGCATCACTTGTAGTCAGGGGCAAAATTCTCAAAAAAGTAGAGGTAAACACAAAACTACAATCAATGAATAAATACTTTCTGACGAAACAATGGAACGCTCGCGCATCCGAAAAAGCAGCTCAAATATGTCCTGGTACTAGTACCGCCTTAAAAAAAAAGTTCGGGTACACAGTACCGGTGAGTACCGGCAGAATTTTACTCCTGCTTGTAGTTTTTTACCATTATTAAAACCTTACCGTTAAAACAAATCAGTTTTATTTGTTGTAACATTTTTACCGTTAAGAAAACCTTACAGTTATTTGTTTATTTTTACCATTATGAAAATTTTACCTAAAAAACAAAACTCAGCGTCATTTGTTTTTGTTTTTTTACTGTTATAAAAACCTTACCGTTAAAAGAAAAGTGTTATCTTTCAGTTTGTATTATAATGAAAACCTTACCGTTAAAACAAAAGTATCATCTATTTACTTTGTATCATATTGAAAACATTACCTTTAAAACAAAAGTGTTATCTTTCAGTTTGTATTATAATGAAAACCTTACCGTTAAAACAAAAGTATTATCTATTTACTTTGTATCATATTGAAAACATTACCGTTAAAACAAAAGTGTTATCTTTCAGTTTGTATTATAATGAAAACCTTACCGTTAAAACAAATGTGAGGGTCATTTGCTATTTTTTTTTATCGTTATGAAAACCTTACCGTTAAAACAATATAGTGTTACTTGTTATGTTATTATCATTATGAAAACCTTACTGGCTATCTCTGACTAAACTTAAACCTTTTCTCTAAACCTGCATCAGTTTGATAAAGGTGGTAAAAGTATCGAGTAAAAATATAACACGGCGAAGAGATCGTTAATAACTGACTATACTTGTTTTTAGGAAATAAATCAACAGTTTCACTTAGAAAACTATAAGCAGTTTGATCTCTAAAGCCTTATAGTAATTCAGTGCTGGATTTATGATTTTAAATTTCATAAATTACTTATCACTAACGATCTTTAATTGATTCAAGGAATAAGCTTTCTTTGACTTAATAAAAAAAATTCTGGCAAAAATGTAACTCATTTATTCTCTCTTTTATGAGGTGAGTCTAAAGAAACACAGAATTTTGTAGTCCAGTTTGTTATTGCAAATCAGACATTTTCGGAGTTGGATTTTCTTGTTATCCATTTAGAATACCCCTGACGTTTGTTCAGAGCATCTCAGTTATACATAACAAATCATGTTCCTTTATCCTATTGGGCGAGGAAATTCATATACGGTTTAATGTGTCGTATTATCCGATGACATATCGTTCAGCTTAGACTTCACTAAAATGAATAGCTAAAAAATAAATCGTTATTTATAATCCATTAATTTCTATAGAAGCATCCATGAGCCCAACTCCCACAAGATGGTCCCTTACTTTTGAGGAGCAAGGAGAAGAATCAGTCCTGATGAGTAAAACAAATCAGAGATATAAAACAAAGATAGTTGTAAATATAGGCAAGTCTTTTGACATCGAATGAAAAAGTTGTTGCTCATCGTTTCTCAAAATGATTGAAACCAGTAACAAGAAACACTTACTATAATATATTTTATAGACAGTCTGATCATGATAGTACACTGTTATTTGTTTAGAATTAAATAAAATAAGGTAAGTAAGTTATGTAGTGTACCTAACTTACTGCTAGAACCATTTCGTACAATTACTGTAAATCTCCCAACATTTTCACAATAGGACATATTTTAACAGATAAAACACACTGTAAATCTCCCAATATTTTCACAATAGGACATATTTTAACAGATAAAACACCGAAAGAAATGTAGCATCCAGACTTACTCCTACTCGTGGCTTTATTAATCAAACCAACTTTCCCTCTACTCCTGGTTTTTCTTATCTAACCAGATCACACCTTACTCGCGATTTTACAATCCTTGCCAGATTTACCGATACTTGTGGTTTTACTAACCTAACTAGATTTATCCCTACTCGTGTTTTCATTATGTAAACCAAATATACCTTTACGCATGTGTTTCGTAACAAAACCAGATTTATCTTTATTCGTGTTGATGACCATAATGAGTCTTGGCTTTACCCGTGTTTTTCTTCAACATTAACATTAAACCTCTTTTTTTTTTTTAAACAAAATCTTTATGATGATTATTATTTTGACTAACAGTGTTTTCTGTACATTATATAAGTTCGGTATACGTTGCTTAAAGAAAACATTAATAAACTTATTATGTATAATAACATGAAAAATAATCAATGTGAATGTAACCCATGACCTGCGAAGCGATCATTCACTGACATTCTTCTGACTAACTTCTATCTGTTATAGTAAGACACTGTATATTACGACGAAGTTTTGTTGGTTTAAGTGTTTGTAATGTTAATTTTATTCTATTATAGCAATATTAAAACATTACATTTAAGCCGTCTCCAGCCATCATTACTTAATTAGTTTTAGAAAAAATTATTTAATTTTCTTTTCTTACCAAAATGGTCAATTCTGACGACAAGAAAGACCAAGCAGGTCTATCCTCTGATTTGCCACGATTTCACGGACTTACATTGGATCCATCAGTAGCTTGGACAAAACCTTGTGAGGTGGACCACAGCCTACGTGACATGTTAGTATATTCTAAGATTTACCCCACCAGTGAATAAGACTGGTTTCGGGATTTTCTACCCTCACAGTAAATCTGGACAAGATCTTATAATGATAAATAGCAGCCCAAGTAGGATGCTAGCCAACCCACATTAGTAACTCTGGACACGATAATATAATGATGAGAAGCAACTCAAGTATGATGCTGGCCAACCATCACCAGTAACTCTAGACATGATCTTATAATGATAAACAGCAGCCCAAGTGATGCTAGCCAACCCTCATCAGCTACTCTGGACAAGATCTGACAGTGATGAACAACAGCCTAAGTGTTATGCTAGCCAACCCTTATCAGCAACTCTGGACAATAGCTTGTTGTGATGAACTATAGCCTACATGGGTGGTGTACAAGTTATCCTTTACTCATAGCCTGTATTCTTCGAGGTGTTTGAAGAATGAATAACATTATTGTTTATTTTTTAACATTGAAGCTATTGGCTTGTTTTATACCATTCACTACCGGTGAGGTCCACATATTGCAGAATATTGAGTAATTTTGTGTATTTGCCTATTACAACACCCATTATAAAGAATTGGCCAAAACGTAGCCTAAAATAATTCATATTCTATGTAAATTGCATAGTGGATCTCAGCAATAATTAATGGGACTCTTTGCAATATGGTTGGTATTTTCGTTTAAGTTTGTTGTGGCTCGTACGTTGTTATGGGCCCTCGAAGTAACAATGTCATGGACACTCAAGCAATTTTTTTTCATAACCGATTAGGTCATGAGCCGTCGCTAATAATAATCTTATGTCGATTGAAATAGTTTCAGCTATCAGTGTTAATTTCTACGAACAACCTAGTTTCATGGTATGCGTAATTGAAAGACATATTGTGAACTATGACTATTGTGACTATGTACGTTTACTGCTGATAACATACATTTCTTTTTGGTTTATTCAAATATAGTACTGTTATAGATTGAAGCTTAGGAACATACAATATGTAAAATATTCGACACCGCGATCTGATAACTTACTTAAAAAATAAAAATAATTTCCAGTTTAAAATCGTGCATGTATATTAACTATGAAGTAATGAGAAGTTTGAAGTAGTCCCACTAGATGGCACTATTATTTTATTTGTGATTATATTGTTGTTTTCTTAATGCAATGCTATACTATGGGCTATCTACATTTTGTCCACCGGGCGGAATCGGGCTATTGATTTTAATATTGTAAGTTCGTCAATTCACTGCTGACCAACCGGATAAAGAATTTGCTAGGATGCTTTTTAATAAAAGATACGTGGAATCTAAATTGTACTTTAGTAAACTTTTACTTGATTTTCACTAATTATATTATCTTGAAAGGAAAGTATTAGTTTTATTTTGGCAGTCTAACAGAATCAAGTTTCACACCATTATACAAGAAGGTGTTCTAAAGTCACTGAGTGATGTAAGAAATGTTCAGTACAAAAACGTTGATTCATCGCTAAGGAAGTGTTATATATAAACACGTGGTTTATATGAAATGGATCACTTCGAAACTGTAGTTAACAGTATTTTTTCTTTAACAGAAAGAAATAATTGGTGCAATAAAGAAGCTACTAACACGAATTGTTGATAATTAAGCTATTATTATTATACAGTCGCTATAAGCCCTTCATGAAGAAAAGTCCATTTTACGAAAATGCTCCGGTTATCGCATATCCATTGAGTAATATCCATTTTATTCGAATCCCATATATCAATGAGTAAGATCCGTTTTATTTGAATCCCGTATATACAACGAGTAAGATCCGTTTTATTTCTATCCCGTGTATCCATTGAGTAATATCCATTTTATTCGAATCCCATATATCCAATGAGTAAGATCCGTTTCATTTGAATCCCGTATATACAACGAGTAAGATCCGTTTTATTTCTATCCCGTGTATCCATTGAGTAATATCCATTTTATTCGAATCCCATATATCCAATGAGTAAGATCCGTTTTATTTGAATCCCGTATATACGACGAGTAAGATCCGTTTTATTTCTATCCCGTGTATCCATTGAGTAATATCCGTTTTATTCGTATTCCGTATATCCAATGAGTAAAATACATTTTATTCGAATCCCATATATCTAATGAGTAAGATCCGTTTTATTCGAATCACGTATCTCCAACGAGTAAGATCCGTTTGATTGTGAAGCAGAATATTTTACACTATGAGCAGTTAGATAATATGGCAGAAAATATTTCCTTTTAGAATAAAGAAACAATATAGTTATTATTTAATAATTATGATCAACTTGAAAATACACAATATTGCGCTTACTCTATTTCTATAGATTTAAATGACTTGTTTTAGATACCTTTGTAATTTGATATTGAACATTCTCAAACATATTTAATTAAACATAAAAACCGACAAATGCAGTTTTTAATATAACATAGCAGCTGTTTCATTACAAAACTTTTCATTGTTCAAAAAAATCTGCTTGTTTGGTAAGAAACATATACCAGTAAAAGTGGTTTCATAATTAAAATCTTATTTTTGTTTGTGTCACAATTGGATGTACTATAATAATTATTATCCATAATATTCAACATAATATTCAGTAATATTCAACTTTTAATGATAGAAATCTGAGATATTTATTATGATTATAGTCTGACGTTTAACTGTCATATGGAATTGAATAAACTCGTTGCTATGAAGTAGACAAGTGGATTCTAATCTTAAAACAAGCTTAACTACCATAAGGAATCGTTAGTAATAAACATGTTGTTAAGAAAGGGGCAAGAGGGTTCTAGTTAAAGAAACAAAGGTTAACTATTAATGGTTGGAGACGGCTTGAATGGGTAATGAAGAAAAACTTTAATATAAGTGATGATGACAAAACCTTGTCGAAACAAAGGTTAACTATTAATGGTTGGAGACGGCTTGAATGGGTAATGAAGAAAAACTTTAATATAAGTGATGATGACAAAACCTTGTCGAAACGTTGTACACTTGCTGTTATGTTAAACTTATATTAAAGTTTTCTTCATTACCCATTCAAGCCG